TAAATATTTTTTGTAGATTTTAGTTACAAAAGAAGTAATTAACTAAGACCCAAGACTATGATAGAGTCAAAGTGGAAAATAATTTCTGTCTCAATCATATCACAAAATTATAGTTGCTAAATTAATTAGACTTTCTTGAATAGCATGATGGTCAACTGATTGTAAGTAATCATCACTACCCATTGATATCTGTAACTGGTCAATTTCTGGACTGGACTGGTCTTCAATTTACATTTCTCAACATGTTCCGAATTCTCCAAAGCACAAACCGACAACAGCAGCAATACTAATCAGCATAATGGCTTAATTCTTAAAATTATGAGATGTAACTTAATACACATTAGCAATTAATGTTTCTACTGAAGATATCTTGCAGTGCGCTGCGGTCATAAAAACAGAATAATATAAAAAGGCAATGATTTAATAAGGTATCCTAACTACCTGTGCGAATTCGGGAATCCGGTGGCAGATATTAGATTAACAACATTTATCATTCGATACATTCGAATACTGAATTCCATAATTTTTTTATCGATCTCCGATCGATAGACTTCTTGAAAATGCAAGGTTAAAGGTTTTGGTTCTCTCTTTTAAATAAGTCGGATGCAAGGTGCAGTACTAAAAATAGTTTCGCTTGTTTTGATTCTTTGATATTTCGTTACGTGGAATTTTCATAAACGAAAAATAGGTTAAAATTTTGTCAGTAAACTATATTTTAGATAACACCTTGCAGTTGCGGTTCACTGTTAGTAGGTAAGTTTTCTTAGATAGCTAGGAATTGTGTGTGATGATGACACCATTTTAACTTCATAACTTTTTAACTTACTAAGTTAAGAATTTATTATGCTACGTTGGTTCATTCCAGCTAAATGACGTCCACTACTCCTCAAGACAAAGGCCTCCCCCAAGGATTTCCACAACGACTGGCCCTGCGCTGCCCGCGTCCAGGTGCTTCCCGCGACCTTCACCACATCGTCAGTCCACCTATGCTTGGTTATCTACTTGATAATTTGACGATGAAAACAGTTGGTTTATTTTCAATTCAGGTTATTATTAGGTAAATCAACCAGATTTTAGGGCATATTCTGAGGCTATGTATCAGCCACATCCAGGTCTTTGAATGATGGTCATACAACTGACGAAATCAACTGCTAGTGGTAGGTACAGTTTATGAACTATAGACGAATAAACATGATCAAGAATCGCCATAAATGGCATTCTACTCAGATATGAAGATAGCTTGGAAATTGAAATGCTCAATTGGAAAAAAGATCGTATGACATGGAGGAGAAAAAGGCATAAATCTTTGTTATCTCATCAATTGATACCAGAGTGGAAGAAAAATACAGAGTGGAAGAAAATCTGTTCCTGTTTTTTGCGCTAGCGCACCTCTAGAGTTGACAAGATTTTAGAAAAATTTACAGAAACTACCTCGATTGATCATCACTTTCAAACAATCGATAGTTATGTCTACACGAGTAGATCTGGCCACGATCTGGCTAAGACATTGTATTCCTCCGAGCTTATTATTGACAAGCGTTATGACGCCAAAGCTAAACCGACACAAAGACAGTAGATTGAATAGAAGGAATTTAAACCCCGGCTGTATTTCTGACTCTTGAGCGTTCTCACAGCGCCATGAGAATGCTTTTTACAATCGATATTCAAAAAAAGGACAGCATCGATGTCTCTGTTGTCAACGGACAATTCTTTTGGAGATCAACAACGACGCTTTCAAAGTTAAAATCAACCTTAACCGATGTTGTTTATAGTTGAGTGTTGAATGGGGGATTACTTATTTTATTGTTCCGTTTCGGCATGCATTGCGTCAGCAACTAAAAAGACAAAGCATGAAACGATCTCGTTGTATTGTCGGGTTAATGATGAGCTAAAACATTATTTTTAGACTAGCCGATTCGCCTTATTTGGAAGTCGGTGATAGATCGTATTCTGATCACTACTTGTGTTCGCTTCAGAGTTATGTATGTTTATAGATAGGATCAATTATAATTTTAAATAAGTTTTTTCAACGATTCCTATCCGTAAATATATTGTTCTGATTAGCAACCAATTAACTTGTACCAAACTATGCTTAGTTAACGGAGACTAAGGTGTAAATATATTCGAATACATTTCTAAATATATTCGAAAATAAACGTATAATACTCCATGCATGCTTGCATTTGGCCTATACGGAATATACTATATACACTGCAAAGGCTGCTGGCATTGCAGTCCAGTCAGTATAGGTATGAGAACCACGAGGCTAGTGGCTGTGGGTGGACGAATAGCTACCAAATGGATTTGGGCACAAGTACTGTTAATCCCCAGGATAAAAAATAGCTTACGACACCGAAGCAGACAGCTCAATAGAATCATAAAAGAAAGGACACTAACAGGATATGCCAAAGCTAATCCTGTTAATGCAACGGTCTCAACAGATGGACCGAGGACCAAAGTCTTACGTTTGAGTTTTTCCATCAAATACCAGAGTTAATGAAAGATGTCCCCAAAGCTTTCTCATTACCCAAACAACGAGCATAACGGAGCCACGCGACAATCGACAAAGGACACAATTGGCACAATAGGACAATATCAAGCAAAAGGCAACCATTCTCGCACCGTCACGCTCGAAAATCGGACATAAAACACAAAACATCAAAACATATTAGGGATGTCATTGTTTTCGAAATTGGACGTCTTTATGCCACACTGCGGGTAGCTCATAGTGTCATTGTCACATTATGGTATGGAACCAATGTTTGCTTACAAAATCATGGGACATTTATGGGGAAAAAAGTGCACTCGATAGACCTCTTTGTTGGAGGTTGAATGGTCTTCGACCACACTAGACGATGACGTGCGTTGCTAATTCGACGTCCATACCTGATGGACGTGTCGAAACGCAATGTTTTCGATTTTAATTTTCTAAATAAACCGACAATTGGTTTTGTTGGCTTTGGCGCTATTTTTTCGAACCTCTTCTAATGGAATTCGTTGGAAACGTTATTACTTTAGCCCCATGTGGCGTCTTATTCTGGATTAATACCGTGACTTTCCGTTAAAAGAAACTCCGTGGGTTTGAGTAAGATAAGAATAAATAATATTACTTAACGACAAAGGTATAAAAAATATCCTAGCACTAATTGTTTGTAGCAATTTAAAGTCTAACGCGTTGATGTCGTTTTCTTGAGACAATAACTTTTTTATTTTATTTCACTATAAGCATTTTTTTAATAAGTATATTTTAAAATGTGATTAGACAGGCCTTTGCGATGATCTGAGATGTGATTTAATTAGTAGTTTCCATAAAACAGTCCTGTGATAAAAAATAATACGGATCGTAGAAAAAAAATCGCTTACCTACTTATTTCTTTAAAATAACTTTAGTAAAGAAAGTTTTATTAATTGTAAAGTTTTTTTTTAATTTTAATTTTAGGAAAATGTTTTAAACTTCATTTTAGGTACAAAAGTAATTGAAAATTAATAATTAATTACTTAACTCGTTAAAAATCTGTGCTATTTTATTTTTAAAAATGTTATTATTTCGAACAACTTAATAATTATATATTTATTATAACTTAATAACAATTGACAGTCCATATTGGCGGAAAAAGATGATAGAAGTTACCATAAAATGGAAATATCTGAGAAATAAGTATTTTATTTGGTTATCAGTATTTCTCGTAACTGTTATATTGGTGAAACGGCTGTCAATTATCGAATAGAACAGTCGATAGAACATCGATTGAATCGATACTACATCGAGTCGGAAAGCTCTAACGACCACGCTACCGGCACCATAAAAGCCAATATCTGACATCTGGCTGGCCGAAGATGGAATTCCTTCTCGCAACTTTACAATGTAGATAATATTTTATGGTAACTGTAGGTGTAATTTAACAGTTATTTGAAATAATTGACATTTATTTAAGATTAAAATAATGATTACATAATTTTTGATTCGAGCGTGCAAAACAATTTCGGTAATATGAATTATATTATAAGGATGTTATTTTATGGGTTAGCTACGGTTATTTTAAAGAAGTCATATCTTATTTTATTGTATTTTTAAAAATTATTTAAAATTTTAATTATTTGATTTCTTACTAGGGATATTGTGCCATGGTACGTAATGCATTTATTTGTTTCCAGAACAAAATCTTGGGTCAAAATATCCCAGAAATCTGCTGAACAAGATTAATTAAAAGAAAATCAGCTGTACAACTGAAAAAAGTATACAAGTAAACATCGCGTTAACTCAATAAACAAACAGACGCAATGTGGTAATCATTGAGGGATAGCGTGGAATGAAGTGATGAGGCGGCGCGTAGCCCGGTAGCCGCGGGCAGATAAACAACCGGCCGCAAACAGCCGTATTTACAACATTATGTTTATACCGCGTGTACACGAGCCTAATACCCGCAACCTACTTAATAACCAGAACGCGCGGAAGGCGTAACCCGGTGGCAATCTTCCGTCCCGCTCGCCGACGCCCCGGGCGCGCGCCTAAGCGAGACGAACAACCACAAATTTATTGAAACGAAAAAAAAATCAACTGCTACTGCACTGCGCGTCGCCTCCACAGAACTAGATACATTTTTCCACGTCGCCGTGCGAGAGCGAGAGGAGCGGGTTACTAGTGAAGTGCGACAGAGACGGGTAGCGGTCCGCGGCGGCGCGCCAAGTGAAACTGTCGGTCATGTGGGCGCTGCCGGTGTTGCGCACGCGCAGCTACTTCGCCTGGCTGAGCTCCACGCTGCGTCCGGCTTAGCCCGTGTGACCTTTAGTTGGTGAACTTAGCGTCCGCTGTGAAACGTCCATTAGAACCCCTCCACCCCGCACGGGGAGCATCCACCAGCGCGAAGGAGAGAAAGGGACGGCCGGCGGTCGTCGGTGCCGTGGCTAAAGGTATTCGTAGAATGCGTGATCTGTATCGGGCGGGCGGAGGCGGCGCGGGGTGCGGGGAAGTTCGGAAGCGGTGGCAGCTCCCATCGACTCCTGGGGTTATTCTTCCTTAGGCCACTACTGATGGAGCTACGTACCAAGCGAGCCAGTTTTTTCTGTCCACCGCACCGCACGCCACACACTCGTTAAGCCAGTGCCAAGTTGCAAACACGAGAAGTCGTCAGTAATAAATTACTGTTTTTTACCGCACTGAGAACAGTCACCGCCGCGCAGCCAACTAATTTATACGTAAAAATAAACATTAATCAGCAATAATCGCAGTTGTTAGCGGCCGAATACAGTGAGTACATAAACATCTGTTCTTATTTTTTGGTTCAATCTATTCTCTCTTAATTTGCCTTCAAATCTACGCTCAGTTACTGCACTTTACAGCCCAATAAGTTCATGGAAAAATTATTTGAATTAAGAGAGAGTACGATTTGACTATTTGTGATTAATTTTTGATGTCATGTGTGAAGTGATTGCAATATTTAGTAATGTTCATTATCATCAGAATATTAAGTTTTCAAATATCGAGTGTTCGGAATAATTATACAATTAATTTTTAAAAACTAGATAAGTCGACCATCTTAAAATTGCAATCATTTCTAAATTTTTCTTTAGTTTTTAAATTGTTTACCACTAGATTCTTATTCGAAATCGTTCTCCATAAGTTTAAAATTCAAACAAAATACGCATCTTCGTAAAAAGCTCACCGAAATATTTCATATAAAAATTCCAATCAGCATAACTTACACAATAAATACCTATTCATTACAAAGGACTGGACATATTAAAAGCCCAGCCTTTGGTGTCTACAAAGAGGCATTATTTAAATAATCCAAATCATTATTATGTAAATTGCTCTTAGCGCCTCTCTCGGCGCTAGAACCACATAAAAGGAATCGAAAAATATTGTCCTCAGATATTTTTTTACCAAAATCACGAGCACCCGACTTGGTCGCTCCATTCAGTGTCTAATAATGACCATTTTATAACGATTTATGGTTTATTTAACAATAAGAATAATGGCCGAAGAAAAAACTTTGAAATATACCTCGAACTTACTTTTGTTCGGTTTCGGAGCTTTGGATCGCACGGATCATTAGACACAGATGACACCTTTAAGTGTTCCCATGGTATCCTTATGGCAATGATTTTGCTTAATCGACCTGCCTCCACCCACATTTGACAGTTTTTTAAACCTTGAATAATCCAACAATAGTCTTCTCAAGCATTTTAATTGCCTTTCCAATATTTTTTCTGTAGACTCATACTCATAACATTATGAATTCAAAAATAAATAATTTCTTAAACTTGAACAAAGGTACGGAAATGCAATTTTAAATAGTACACCTAAAGACAATGAAGAGCATTTAAAAACAGATTTTATCGTATCAAAAATGGATAGTATTAATCTTGAATATGCGCAGTTCATAATTAAAGTTCATAATCCAAGTGGTGCTATAAAGAAAACCGGTGTTTAACCATAACCTTAAGTTACACAGTCAGTAACTTATTACTCATTCTTTCATCTACAAGGCATTTTTTACTTTTTGCGCGATCACGACTTCATATCTAGATAATGGTAGAATCGTACGAGCAGTTTGTAAATATTTTTAAACATGCATAAAAACAATTGCTATTTAAATATGATTGCGTGCTAAGATGTATAAATATTGTGTTTTAAGTAGACATTATAATTTAAGATTAAAATATTGTCATATTAGTCTTACTAATATTACTTTATTGTTTCATCTTAGAACTTATCGTCAGTCACCATAAGACAAATGAAGTCCTAAAACCTAAAAAAAAAAAAATTCATTTAATTAAAAAAGATTCCAACGTTTCGAAAACTGCGTAATTTCTTAACGACTTACACCTAACCTCTTTTGTTCATCATTAAACCGACACCGCAACAACATTCTAAATGCGTACAAATGCGCGTTTACAATATGTCGAGCGCGTTAATTCCAGCCATTAAATATACGCCGGAGGGGAAACGAATTTACATCCGTAATTACGCGATACGCGATTCCACTACGTAGTCCAAGAGCTGGGAACCTTATATTTACTACGTATGGTTTGATTAACCTTGTTATGAACAGTTTACTAATTTTGTTATTTCCAAGTTTTTCTTTTTTGTGTCTTTCTACTTTATTCTAATTTTTAAAGACATCTTAAGTTATCCTGAGAATTTTAGTTAGGTTTCTTATTAATAGATTAATGCCTATATTAGAGCCTATACGAGTAATAAGCATTGATAGTGGCAAAAAAAAAAACTTAAAATCAAATAACATTTTTGATGGGTTAAACTTTACCAAAAGGATTTAAAGGTCGCGGGAAGAACCTGGATGAGTATTTAAACTCTGATGTTCTTCAGTACACAGCTTACATATTTCCAGAGCTATTAAAGTAGACAACCCGAGCAGGTTGATTCGAACAGCTCCATAAATTCAGTCTAGACAGTCCTTGCATGGTTTAATCTACATGACAGTGTGGGTGTAAATTCAGAGATAGCAATATTAATAGAGCGACGTCTCGCGTAGCGCGGTAGCTGTGATCTGCATGCGAGTTTGCAATTCTAGTTGTCAGTTTAATCTTTTAAAAGATATTGTAAAGAAAAATGCTGGGAATTGACCAATGACAAGGCATACTGATAAATGTGTAGGTGTATTTTAAAAGTTAAGTCATGACAGAGTCATACTACGAGGTTTTATTGGAACTTTTGTAGCGCGTAGCACGGTAGTCGCGTAGTAATGTCTACGGGAAATGACAGCGTACATTATTTTTATACTATTTTATGTTACTATCAAGTACGTAGGACTACTTGAGTCTTGTTTGGATTAAGCATGATTTAGCATTAGGAATATTTATTGCAAAGCATTATTGGAATTAAACTCTATTTTACACTAATTGCCGTAGTCGGCTTTAGCACCACGACTATCAAAGGTTTTGATCTTATTTGTGATCAATTTGGAAATTTAAGCTTGTGCGCTCCAAAGTCTAGAATAATTATTAAGTTTGTCTATATGTATGAAATTTTACATTTTCTTTTGCCCATAATTCGACTGTGATCCACATTAATTATCATAATTTGTTAATTGATAGTTAACCTATTTATTAGAATCTTGGAAATTAATAGTTGACAATAATGACTGACTTTCTTGCGCTGCTTCTCAGCACTGGCCCATTTATTGTCCCGAAGCAGTGGTAGGGTTAATACTGGGACATGTAAAGGTGCTTTTTAAAAGCTTACTTATAAAAATAGTTTTATGAGTTTTTCATGTCTTATAGATAAGTGTATTTTGTTACACATGAAATGGTAGGGTTAATAATACGTGTAGTAAAGTAAAGGTGCTTTTCAAAAGTCCTCTTCTGCCGTGCTAGCGATATCAGCAATAACTCTATTTTTTGGCAAAACTATAATGAGCCCTATTTCAATGAACTGACGGGAGTTTTTTTTAAAGCAAAATATTGAAGTTACTGCTAATATCACTAGCACAGCAGTCTTGTAAAAATAAGTAGATTTTTATGAGTTTTTCATGTCTTATAGATAAACTAGCTTTCCGCCCGCGGCTTCGCCCGCGTGGAATTTTGTCTGTCACAGAAAAACTTTATCGCGCGCGTCCCTGTTTCAAAAACCGGGATAAAAACTATCCTATGTTCTTTCCCGGGACTCAAACTATCTCTATGCCAAATTTCATCAAAATCGGTTGCGAGGTTTAAGCGGGAAAGCGTAACAGACAGACAGACAGACAGACAGACAGACAGAGTTACTTTCGCATTTATAATATTATAGTTGGGATGTATTTTGTTATACTTTAGCCAAACAAAGCCAATTTAGTCAGTAGCTCTCGTGCTATACGCGTAGCACGGTAGCGGTCTCGGGCGCCGCCCCCGCACATCCTAATTGGGAGTTTGTACAAATACGGCAAATTGTATATGACGGCCGAGCCGTATTTGTTTTTTATGACTTATTTATACGTTATTAATGCCTGGAGAATAGTCTGCCTCGTTGTTTTAAGGTTCAGTGTATTGTTTTTAGATTTAGGTAGATTTACATAAAAGAAACTAGGCATAGATAGTTGTACGATACACCAAAAATGTGTGGTGCTTATTAATTCAACATTTTTAGTTTAACTGTTAACAGTGGGCCACTGTTAACAGTCAAACTAAAAACATTGAACTGTCAGTGGCTAGTTAAAGTGTAGAACAAAGCAGAGTTTCTTAGAAGTGACTAACATTTCAGTTATCCATTTTTGATTATAACTTGTAAGTACATATCTTGATATAACTGGCAAAGAAAAAGTATCATCACGTTAAGTAAGATGAATGAATTTATGATCCTTTTAAGAAAGAATGCCAAAAACGCGGACGCGAAACGAGCGTACAGCTTAAAATAAAATAATAACAATAAACCGCGTAACTTCAAACCCCAATCAAATTGCCGAAAGTGCCAAAGTGCGATAACTCGCGCGAGTTTTATTCGAATTTTCGAATAAACGTTCGAAAGTTTCGAGAACGGTCGCGAGTCGCGGCGGGGCGCCGTCTCCGCGCCACCCTTTTAACTCGGCCGACCCAACAATGATCTGACCACTCAGCGTAAATAAAACAGCTTGTTTTGACTTTTAAAATGATTATTTTACTAAGGAATGATCATCATCAGGTCATTTAGTCTTCACTGCAGGAGGACTGCCCTATGATTTACCAGAGACAAATTGAGGATATGGCCAACACCCTGGTGACCTGGGGAGTGTAGACCAAGTACCTAATGGGTTGGAAAGGCTTGATGTTCGCATATTTCTCCCTTAGCCGTCTCTTGCGACATCCATGGGAAGATTACTATTCCTATTCTTTTCTCTTACTTTGTTCATTCAACTATTTTTAACAACGTGCTTAGCGCGTTAAGCTCTATTTGTGGCAGAACGATATCAAACTTCAGGCATTATCTTGTATTTTTATGAGTTAAAATAAATTCTGATAGTGGCTAAAATAGAATTACCATTGTTGCAAAAAGCTATTTCATTTACTTGAACAAGTCTCTACATTTCTTACAACTTAAATCATGAGTTTGCTGTTTATCTTGGGTTGTGTCTTGTGTACCAACGATCCCGACTCACCACGAACAAAAAGATTCTGTCACATATACGTACTCTATATTAACACATTGCTCGATGTTTACGAGCCACGGGGTGGAAGACAATGATTATTTATTGTGCGGGGAGCTTTTGTCATAACGCCGCCCGTCTCATACACCATACCCATTTATAAAGCCAAAGTTGATCGAGGACACAGAAT